ACCTTCTGAGGCACACCAAGCTCAAGGCCACATGGCTAGGCAAGAGGGCACCCTCTCCGTCAGGAGACCCCCCTCAGCTCTGTCCGGGGGCTGCTGGGAGCTGGGTGAGCCGAACCGAAGCAACAGATGAACACCAGCCACTGCCCGCCCTTGTCCCCACACCTACCTTGGAACTGGAATTGACTGTTTTCTGTGCGTTTGACTTCCTACTTCCTGTCACTGTGACTTCCCGACAGTGGCCAGCAGTTTCTGTGGGCAGAGCCCCGTGGCTGGTTTTGCCCATCGAACACGTTAGAGCATCACTCGTTTCCCAAAGAAGACACAGGGAAGTAATGCCGGGAAACACGGGATTACACGCGAAACTCGGACTCTTCTAACAGCCTGAGAAAATGTGGGGCCTGGCAAGTATACAAACAAGCGGCCCGATCACTCACAGAAATAGGACCCTGACCACTACCTGCAACAACCTGCACAGGAAGCCAACCGCGCGTGTCCACAATGACCAGTCCAGGGAGTGGCCTTGATGTTGCTTTACGGGCAGCCAGGCTGCTGTCTCCAGTAACAATTCAGGACGCTGAACATCGTTTCTGTAACAGTTGGTCAAAACGGCCATGACTGATTAATGACTGACCGCTTCCCTAATTTTTGGCTCTGCTTCCAACTGAGGACCAACCAGAGAAAGCCAGACACGTTCCCCATCCAACCTCACCGGATGCTCTAATAGCTGCTTCCTGCTTCCCCGGGCCAGCAGCCTCCAACCGGCAGGCCTGGAAGCTTCCTTTCGCCCACCGTGCAGCTTCCTCACTCCTCCGCCTGCCTCTGAGTCTCTGCCCAAACCAAGTGAGGGTGGCTGACTCTCCCTCTATCGAGGGCTCAGAGTACCAGCCTCTGCTTCTTCCCACTGGGTGGGCCTTCATTTACCTCCGGGCACCGGTCCCTGACCCTAGGGGAGCAGAAAGGGCCGGAGCACAGCCGGCCAGCGCCAGACCAGCCCATGCTACCTGTCGGGCTGCGGAGGAAGAGCCCGGGCAGGGCCTGGTGGCCCGCCCAGCACTGCGTCCCAGCCGCAGTGCCGACCCAGTTTGAGACAGGATCCAAGGCAGAAGGCCAGGGCCAGGCAGGAAGCATGCTTGCTGCTGAATCATAAACCTGGGTTATCACCCCATAAATATGCTCCGTTTCTTGGCAGGAAAGGTCCTGGGAGCGGGAGGGGTGAGGAGGCCACAGCTGTGACTGCGCCCAGACACAAGCGCTCGTGGCTGGAGGCCCACCCGTGGTCGGCAGGACCTAGGACAGCTCCAGAGGAGCTGGGCCCATACTGCCCATTTCCGCCTCCCCCGTGTCAGCCGTACGCCCACCACACACGCTCTAGAAGGTTCTGAGCCCATGCCCTTGCTCTGCCCCCTGGAGGCCAACAGCTTAGTGAGGCACCAACACAGTCAAGGCCTCCAACGGGGGTAGAGCTTTCAGTGAGGGCAGCGAAGGGGGAAGGGGCCCTTGCCCAGGCTCGGTTCCCGGCCACACAGCGCCCTGTGAGACCTTTGCTCTCACTTCGTTTCCAGGCAGCCAGTTCAGCCAGGTGGGCCTGGGGCAGCCTTCTGTGGAAAGAGGCCTCTTGACCTTGACCCAGAAAACCCAAGGTGAGGCCAGGGGCAAAGGGCCTGAAGGGGGCAGTTGGATCAGACCTGCTGCAGGCCTCGGGGAGACACACTTCTCCTCCTTGGCTCATCTTACTGGGCGGAACCAGCCAGGACCGTGGGCAGACCTCCAGGGCTAAGGTTAACAACTGGCCTGGGGGGAGGACTCAGCAGGACTCTGCCTTTGAACTCCACCCCGAAAACCAGACGGACAAAGGAATCCTTACCATCAAGGAGTAGTCCACCCTAGTTCAGTGGGCAGGAGGCTGCACAGTCACGTGGGGCCAAAGCCACCTTGTCATAAGGGAAGTAGATGCCACCACGGTCCTTTTGCTACCAGTTCATTAGCCAGAACCTTCAGCAGTAAGTGACGGCGGGCTAAGGGGTCTCCTCCTGGCCATATCTCCTCCCACTCATTTTGGAAACTGAGTCCCAACAAGGCACGGTGCCTTCTGTCCTGTGCTTTCACTCTCAGATCACTTGGTCTGGGGACATCAGCTGCCATGCCATGAGTGGCCCAATGGCAGGGCCAGGGGAGGGAGCTGGGAAGACGACCGAAGCCCCACCCCACATCATGACAGCGACCTCACACGGCCCTGAGCTGGAGTTACCCCCAACGCTGCTTCTGGATCCGTCACCCTCAGGACCCATGTGAAATAACAAATGCTTGTTGTTTCAAGATAACCTTGGGGGGAACTGATCCCACTCTAACAGAGACACGTGCCTGTTTATGCATCAAGGCCTTCACGAATAAGAAACTTCCATTTCCTGAGTCTTGGGATGCTCTTAGAACTTAGCAGCCCTGCTATGAGGAAGCCAAGCTGGAACAGTGAGGCTGGCAGGGACGGGAACCAACACACAGACCAACCTGCCAGCCAGACTTGCACATGACCTTGGAAGTGGATTCTCCAGCCCCAGTCAAGCCGCCCGAGCCATCCCTGCCTGGTTGCACATCCATGGACAAAATAAATGACTAGTGGTATTTTAAGTCACTAAGTCTTGAGGTCGGTCTGCCATGCAGCAATCGGTAATGTGAACAGAGCCTGGTATCCGAGAGTGCAGTGCTGCTGGAACAAACCCCGTAAATCCCAGGCATTGGCACTGGGACCAGGTAGAAGCTGAACAGCCTCCGTGAAGGCTGGAAGGGAAGCAAGAAAAACACCCCTGGAAGCTGGATGGAAGGGGGCCCAAGTAATGCAGTGACAGAAAGTCTGGAAACATAATCAACCGAGGTCGTCGAGAAAAGAGTTCTTGATGAAGTTCATCGTGTAGCCAGAGATTCCAGGCAGAGTACGGATGTGCCCACTGGCTTCTGGTCGCTGCCTCTGATAAAATGTAAGGGAAGAGAGAGGAATAGAGAATACCCTGTTCAATATGAAGAAGCTAGGACTTGCTGAGTTTAACTCACTCCCCCCTCCCCTCCTTCCCCTCATAAATAAATCTTAAAAAAATAAAATAAAATAAAGCTATTTTTCACTCTTAGTTTCTGCAGATCGCCAATGATTCTCAAATTAAGAAAAGACCCCATTCCATTGACCAAATCTAGGATGGGGGCAGTGGGGGTGATGAATTGTAGAAACTTTCAGACAGACAGACAGACAAAAGGCCCTGTACAGTCTCAAGGGCATCCTTTAAGATCTTCTGCATTCACTGAGGCTTTGAAGAATGCCAAGGGCACGGCCTTCCGCATTCACAAGACAGCCCCAGACAGAGAAAAGGCTGCCCCTCAGGGAGGCCTGTCCTCATGGCTTCCGTCTAATGAGTGAGGCTTTGCCGTTCTGTAGGGGCTAATGCAGGCCCTCCCTGCTGGGGCGTGTAGCTCAAAAGGAAACGGAAATCACGATGTGTGCAGAGGCTGCAGGAGCACGTTGACCACCCTGCCCCAGCCCCACCCCTGGGGATCTGGCCGTGAATTGGGAGACCCGTCCCCGAGGGCCGAGGAGAAATCCAGAAGTAGGGAGGTGGAGAGCTGAGCTCCCAGTCCGGTGACCTCGGGACTCCCCAACTTCCCCCGCTGATGGAAGAACTAAACAGAAAACCCAGGCCCCACACGCGATACGCCAGCCTAGGAATTTTTTCCTGGGGCTCTAAAAAGAGATTATTCACATTTGAGAGAAGGCTGTTTCTGCTGCCTGGATGATGTATCTCCTCCCTTGGGCTTAATGGAGACACAGCCACCTGTATGCCTGGGAAAGATGTATCAATGGAGAAAGGCAAAGCCCTCGCTCAGAGGCAAGACTGTGTTCACGCTTCTTTTTTTTTTCTCTCTGCAAATGAGGCCATAATTCCAAGTAAATGGCACGAGAAGCTGTTAAGAGCCAAGCCCCCCTGTTCCCATTTCGATGTTCTCCTGGTTGTAAATAATCCACATGACTGCGCCCGGAACTCGATTGCTCGTTAGCTGCCAACACTACTTGTTTAATGACCTGAAGAGCAGAAGCTGCCAATTATTGTATTGCTTCTTAAAATGCCATTTAAAACCCATACATGTAATTATTATACCTTTCTGCTAAGTTTTTATGATTCGTCTGAAGCTGATGAGTTGTACATTCCTTCAGCCTATAAAACTCGAAGTGTACTTGAGGATGTCAGCACACAGGTGGGCTACATGTCCCCGTGTCACCCCCGGACCCTGGCCCCGATCTGCCACCTCTTAGTAACGGAGTGACCTCAGCCCGAGGGCATAGCCCAGGGCCCCAGTCTCCCCCTCTGCCCCTTGAGATCCCCGATCTCTCCCACCAAGCTAATAATGTAGCTGTTGTGCAAATAAAATAAAACAACACAGCAGAATGTTTAAAAGTGCTCTCCAAATGATAGGGTGAGATGCTATTTTCAGAAACTCCTGTTTTCAACCCCCCAATTAACGGAGTGATGTATCCCTTAATAACTGCCAGAGGGGGGAGGGATTGCGATCTGTTGAGAATCTTCAAAAAGCTATAATGTGTGACTAGATTGTCAGGCTGGGTGCCTCACTTTGTCTCATGTTACCGCTCCTCCCCCTTATAAGAAGGGGTCCGCCACACCCAGCAATCCTCACTGAGCATCTAGAGATTCATAACGCTCCAGAGACACCGGCTAGCATGATGGGGCGCACGCAGTGCGTCTAGTTTTAAAGTCGTCGAGGGACAGGAAGTGGAAGTCCAAAACAGGGCACCTTCACAGATGTGCGGATGCATATTTCAGAGCCTTACCCGTCCCTTTATAAGGAGACCGTGGGTTTTAGTGACACTCCCCTCAAAAGCTCTGCAGTGTGTGTGCGTGTGACATAAATCACAGGCAGAATGTCCATCGAGGACAAAACATGGACAGTGGTGGTCATCGGTCCATTTCAACAGCTTCGATGTCTGCTCTATTTCCAGTTACCTGATACGGCGAGCATTTTGGCTTCAAGCAGCGCCGGTAGCTGGGTTTCAATTTCGTGAACTTTCTTCCTGAGAGTGCCGCACAGCCTCTCGGTCCTGCACACCTGGAGGGAGACCAACAGCCATGAATCGTCGTGGCAAAAATCAGAAGGCGACGGAGCAGCCAGGTCGGAGATTCTGGGTTTGTAAGTACTCAAAGGGGCGATAGAGTAATTGGAAGAGAGTTCTCAAAAAGCAAGCGATGCAGGGAGGAAGGGAGGCAGGAGGGAGGAGCAAAATAAAGCCAGCACTGGCAAACTCCCAGCATACCCTCCAGGACACCCACACACAAAAGCACCACCACCACCACTCTGCCCGCCCTCCTCAGGGCCTTTGCACTGACTCCTTCCTACTGAAATACTCTTGCCCCAGGCGGCTCAGCCCACTGACACCCCTCAGGGCTCTGCTCACACATCCCCTGGGAAGCAAGGCCTGGCTGACTGCCTACCGAAAGCAACACCAATCCCTGGCAGGGTGCTTCAGTTGGTTGGAGCATCGTCCCATACACCACAAGGTTGTGGGTTTGATTCCTGGTCAGGGCACATGCCTAGGTTGCAGGTTGAATCCCCAGGGCATGTAAGGGAAGCAACAGATCAATGTTTCTCTCTCACATAGATATTTCTCTCTCTCTCTCCCCCACTCCCCCTAACATTACTTGAACAAAAATATATCCTTAGGTGAGGATGAAAAAACAACCAGCACCCCTCCCTCTCCTCCTGCCTTTACTCTGCTTCATGTTTTTCCATGGCTTCCTCTCCAGCTGACACATTAGTTGTTCTTATTCCTTTATCATTCCTCTCGTCTCTCTCTGCCGGGGCACAAGCTCCACGCGAGCATGGACACGCGAGCTCTGTCCCGTGTCTGGCATGCGGGAGGCAGTGGGGAAAGGGGCACAGCCCTGAGAGGAAGGGCAGTGTGGCAGGCCCCACGGAGTCCCGGGAGACGCTGTCTGGTGGACCCTGGGGGGCAAGTACTTGCTGGCGAGTTGATTTGAAAAATGACAAGTAGAGTTCAGGGAGATTTGCAAATTTTATCATTTATTTTTCCAGGATACTCTAAATACTTTGCACATTTTTCTTTGTTTTTTGTTTTAAGTAACAATCATTTAGCCCTGGCTGGCATAGCTCAGTGGATTGAGCGCAGGCCTGTGAACACACGATCACAGTTCGATTCCCAGTCAGGGCACATGCCTGGGTTGCAGGCCAGTTCCCTGCAGGTCAGTTTCCAGCAGGGGAGGCACAAAAGGCAACCACACATTGATGTTTCTCTCCTTCTCTCCTTCCCTTCCTCTCTCAGAGATAAATAAATAAAATCTTTGAAAAAAAAAGTTTAAAATCTCAGTTTCTTTTTTCCCCAAATGTCTTAGGTTGTCTTTTATTTTGTTTGAAATAAAAATACCACAAATTTTTCTTTTCTGTTTCAGACAAAAACTTTGTGTCCAATTCATGTCAATACTCAGATTAATGTGCTACTTGGAAAAACTTCCAGTTCAACAGAGGCACATGGCACAACTGGATGGTAACAACGGGACGATGGAGGGTGACCTGCAAAGAGGGTGCTCCCTCTTGCTGAAAATACAAGATTCCATTCAACGACTAAAATTAACCCATTTTGGCGCACAGAGCCCAGAGAAAATATAAAATTTAGTAAGAACCTAACTCTCACTGGATACCATCCACTTGAAACGTTTCGCTTATCTCAGACTGAAATTGAGATTGCTCTTGGACTCCAGGCAGAGCTCACCATGCGGCCTCAAACCTTCTAGCACTTCTCCTACGGCCTCGAACGGGGTCTTTTCCAGCTGTAAGTACCCAAACCTCTTCATGAAACGCTCTCTCCAGATGACAGCCACAGCGTGTGGCCGCGGTGACAAAGCCGCACCAGCAGAGCCAAGCACCCACATGGCCAGGGCATCAGCGGTCCTGGGGTTTGTCGGGGTGCCAGCACTGGGAGTTAAACGGAAGGTGCTCGGTCACTGTCCCCCCAGAGCAGAGTCTCAGGCCGACCTCCACACCTGATGACTGACACGCCCCCTTCCCTGCATCTAACAAAGTCATCGAAGCCCGAGGACATTTCTGTTACCCCCACAGCACCAGCCCCTCCATCACCCCTCCATCTCATCCAGTGAATGTCCGATATGTCTGATTTTAAGTTAGCAGTGTCTGTTCATCGCAACTGGGCCAGTTTCCCCTTTGTGGAGCAAATCTATCCTTTGGGCTGTCACTGTTAATAAGAAACCAGCTCTCTGAAGCTTTTTCAATTGCAAAGTACATTCTTCCAGGCACTGCTGGATATAATCTAATAGCTACCACTCTCCAGATATCCCATCTATTTCCAACTATCTCTTCCATCTCGTTTATCCCCTAATTACCTTTGGTTTGGGGAACCCATAAGGATAGAAGAAACACAATGGGTGCAGAGAAGGTCCTGTCCCCCTTTGAGGGAGGAATCAAAAGGTCGTCATCTCTCTGACTCTAATCCACTGAGTCAAGAAAACTCTGCCCAGCTGTGACTTCCACCCCCAGGTCACCAGTCGGTCAAGTCCAAAGCAGAAAGAAAGTTATTTTGTGTGACCGGGTAGTTTTGTTTCAATTCTCTGTAGACTAATGATGCCCCTCACCACACACATATCTGCCTGCATACAAACCCACCTGTACACACACACGCACCAAAAATGTGAATCTCCTTTTTATTTCCAAATAAAATTGGACCCTCGGGAACTCACCATCAATGGAGCTTTTACATTCTAATCTTAGACGTGAGTTCCTTGATCGTATGGAAAAGCAAGGGAATTAGAGGCTTTGCAAGTGCGTCATAGAAGGCGTGTGCACAGAGCTAGCCACTTCCGGCGCTGGGGCAAACCCAGCAGCTTTAATGGGCGCGGGAGGCCATGCCTAAGTCCCAGAAACACAGGGGAAAGGGTGCTTCTGCCACCTGCCCATCTCTACCTCCCTGGGCTCCTCGGAGGTGGCAGTGGCAGATGCTGACAGGGCGTGGATACTAGAGAGTGACCTCGCCGTGACTGTGTAGGCGGAAGTTCAGGTCTGCTTTCTCATGCCTCCGCTCCTGCTTCACATGACAAAACTGGTAAAGCCAGTCGGCCTCCCCTGTCCTTCCTGTCCATCAGGCTGGCCCCGGTGGGGCCAGGGAGGGCTCAGCCCCGCTCGGCGGGGAGCCCAAGAGAAAAGCCCTTTACCAGGGCTCTGCCTGGGGACTCAGGCAGGCCCCTCCAGCCCTTCTCTGGGCCGACATTCCTGGGACCTTCTCCTCCAGGATCCGGGGCCCTGGGCCCAAGGCCGTTGCGTGGACAAGACTGAATACCCTAACAGGAGGCTGTCATTTCCCCACAACAGCTCATCAAACTGCTGTGGTGTGGTGTGGTTTTTGGCAAAATCATTTAATGCCATTTTCAGAAATGAATTAGACACAGCAACTGGGAGAAGGACCAGAGTAACCTGGAGACTTTTGCCAACAACTCAGCCCCGATCTCGGCTTAGCCGTGTGCCCCACGGCAGGTCCTCCTGGCCTCCTTCCCTGGGCACTGAGAGCAAAGGAGATTTCCTTCCAGGCCAGAGGACCCTCACCTGCTTCATTCTCTGCTCAGAAACCTGTTCTTTTTGCCTTGCGACCATCATACAACCACCCCTGGCTCCCAGGCCCAATGCAAACACTCCATGATTCACACCCTGCTCTCCGCCCCATGTTCAGGGACAGCTCCAGAGAGTAAGGGCTCCCCCTTCACAGTGTGTGGCTCACTCGGCTGGGCATGCCCATGTCTACAGGGAAGGCTCTGTTCTGCAAACTGTGGTCGTCCTAACCAACCAGGACACAGCTGTGCAGCTGGGCTGACTGCTTTCCTAGGGTGTGGTGAAGACCTCTTCTGTTCCTACACAGACCAAGCCTGAAGTGGCATGTAACCGGCAGGTGAAATGGGCAAAGAGACTCTGAACTCAATGTGAAAGCTTTTATAAAACAACACCTGCTACCCCATTTCCGGATGTGAGGAACCGGAACCCCGCCCTCCAGGAAGGAAAAGTACAGATTTCCCACGACGATCCCATCCCGAAAGGCTTGCTGAGCGAAGGCATTTATTCGGCTGTGCACAGCAGTGCTCACTGTCCTTCCCCCTCAGTGACCGCTCCCTCTGAAGCATAGGCCACGCCATGGGTTCCAGCAGGACCTCGAGCCAGGCCCTGCACATGGGAGCCACCCGGGCCCTAGCCCTCTGGCTCAGCGCTTCGCTGCAGGATGAATGGTTTTGCAAAGTCTGCATTCCTTCCAGAGCCCACACGTTCTCTGAGCCAAAGGTGAAATGAAGTCAGAAGACAACTTCAGAGATTTGCCTAGAAAATGGGCGTACTTACCTTCGCAGTGATCTCTTTCAGCGACAGGGCGAGCGGTTTTACCCTTTCCTGGAGGCTGGAAGAATTAGAGAGAGGACATTGGTCTTCTTGGTACCACAGTTCAATTCCACCCCACATAAGAACCCTGGGGAACACTGGACCTGTGTCCATCCAGTGGCTGAAGAACAGCAGGAAAGACGATGCCACACACTGGCTCCACTTGACCATGGAGTTGATAAGCTGCCAGGAAGCAGACTGACCCCTAACAGGGCCCCACTTAGGCCAATATTAAAGCCTGTTGTTGCTTCCAAGGGCACGTCTACTGAAAGGGCGAAGGAACGACCGCGATGTGCTCCTGGCGACAAAGGACTCGAGTCGACATTCCTGTAACCACCTTCCAAAAACGGCAGTCTACCCAGGGCGGCGTCTGGCAGGCAGGCAATGAAGTTGATCTCTCGGGGCAGGTACACGGTGCCGCCCACACATTTGTGCGGAGCACCTCCTGTTCCAGCCGCACCGGGGGCACGTGTGTCTACGTGTAAAGCACACCTAAAACGGAGTTCCCCTGTCTTCAGGCTTCCCCTGCCTCTTCCTCCCCGTGGCACTAGTCACCTCGACATATTCACTTATTCGTGTAACTTCTCCCCCACCCTTGGAATGTAAGTTCCACAAGTGCGGCAACTGTCTATTGTATTAACTACTGCGTCCTCAGTGTTTAAGACAGTTCCTGGGGCCCGGAAGCAGGCACTCAGTCAGTATCTGTTGAACGAATGAGCAAACGAAACGACTCAGGTTTCCTCAGCATGGTTACCTAATGGAGAAGAGCCCATGCAGACCCTCCGTAGAACACAAGGCAGGACGAAAGCATCACTCTTAGGAAAAGAGACAACCATCGCTTGGCTCAGACTGCTGCGTAACAAGTGTCGCAGGCAGACTGTTGTCCCCGGGTGGGTGATGGAGATGACAACTTACGCAGCGATTTAGAAACTATGGGGCTGATGGGAAAGCTACTGGGAGAGGTGGAAAGAACTGGGCCTCAAAGGAAGAAGGGGGAAGAATGAAACTTCTGGAAGGCGACGAACGCAGCTGCACCAAATGGCTCACAGTCAATGGGGAGAGATGACGTGAAACAGGGAGGGGGTGACAACTTCTCATAGAGAAGGGGGTGGAAAGGACAGGAGTAGGGGGTCCTTCTGCATCTACAATGTGTACTTCCTTGGAAAACTAAATGGGGAGCAGCTAATGGTTGTTAAACCTCGGGTGGCGGGGAGGGCGATAAATGAGATCCTGTTGTCGTCCATTGTGTTTGGAATGTTTACCACTGAAATCACTTTTAGAGGAACACCAAGGACAGTCCATGGTCAGTTCTGAAGGCCAGGGAAGGGTTCTGAGCTTCATCCCACAGTTAATGGGAATCCGTTCCATTTTGGAGCAGGAAAGCAGCAAGGCGGAAACGAGTTTTTCTGGAGTAGGTGGCCCTGACACATGATTTAGAGCGGGGAGTGCTGATGGGACGAGTCAGCAGGCGCCTTCAGCCGAAACCGGACGGTGAGGTCCCGGGGCCTGCAGAGAGCGGGGGAGGGCGGGGAGGGGAGGGCGGACTGGGCCGCCAACTGCCTGCCGCTGCAGAGCAGCGAGGGCATCTGACCCGGGGCGGTCACTCGTGTGTCCATCCACAAGGTCACGACCCCTCTGATTTCCGTGGTCACCTAGTAAGTCAGGAACATGAGCACAAAGACATGGTTCTTGCCTCCACGGCCACCGAACGGGCGCTCAAACTGGAAAGAAGCTGCAGGTGCCAGAAAAGCAGCGGCCCCTCGGTCTAACGGACCAAGGGGAGGCCAGGTCTTCTGGGGTAAGTGCTGGGGGGAGGGGTCGGCCTATGGCAGGGGTTGCAAAAAACAGATTGCCCGTCATCAACTGTAAGAACTGGCTTTGAATACGGCCACCTGCACCAGCCTGTGACTTCTGAGCACAAGCAACCTCGCTTCGATCGCAAACGCCCCCACACCGGTGTGGGTCCACTCTAACCAACGCCCTCCCGCTGCAGGCCTGCATTCTACAGAGGGGGGTGTCCCCGTCGAACTGACGTCAGCCGGACGCAGGAGGGGAGAGGTGAGCAACGGCAGGGCTTGTGGCAGCAGAGTTTCCGGAAACCAGGAGCCACGAGGTGACAAAAACCCATGTGCTCAACTGGGACAGTGGGCAACAGCTGGAGGAATCCCACCCCGAGAATCCCAGACACCGGCCGGACAGAGACTGGCTCTTCTGGAGAGAGGTGAGTCTGAGGGGCTGTGAACAGGGGGAGTGGCAGCAGACCACGCCCCCGGAGACGCTGGGGGGGGAAGGGCAGAGGAGCCGGGGACGGGCCTGCACCGGTGCCGCACGGGCCCCTGCCGTCTGCTCTCCAGACCGAAAGCCTTGCCAGGCCCGTGGGAATCCGTCCAACCGGTAACCTCAGCAAATGGCTCACCACAAAATTGATTCCGTATGAGCATTTCATAGTCTCTCAAAAATAGCTGCTCCCAGCCACACACAAAGATGAGTTCAGCCACTAACAATTAAGACGGATGGGCAGTGGGTCCACTCGCTGACCCTAGAAACTTAGCTGACCAGCGTGGCGGCATCTTTACCCAACACTCAACGGGCCAAGCACTGCCTTCCGAGGCCGACAGGACTCCCGGGCCTCTGGGCTCGGCTGCGGCCCTTCCCCAGAAGGAAAATCGGTCTGCTCTGCAAGATCCATGTTTCAGCGGCGAGGCAGCGAGGCAGGTAATTGAATGCGTTGTTTTGTATGTGATCTGATTTATATCTAATTGATTTAATTTATGCCATGCTACTTTTTGCTGCAGATTTACCTGCCTCATTATGGTTTTCATGGGCTAACAGGAACACAGTTGGGTCCCTGGGGCAGACACGGAATGAGAGCAGGGGTGGGGGTGGAGCACAATAGGGATAATTTACACACCACGCCAGTGGTTTTCCAGCTATTTTTAGTAGCAGAACTCCTTTAAACAAAATTTTGCCCAGAACTGCATTTTGTACAATACATAACAGGGGATCTGTTCTGGGTCAGGTGGGGTATCTGGCTCAGGGCGGAACGATGTCACAGGGACCCCAAACCCTCCGTGCGACCTCCAACACACTGTGGCCCCCGAACAGGATTCCGGGAGCAGAAATACAACTTGGAAACCACCCATCAGATGAGCTGAATGTTCATAAAAAAAAAGTCCCACGTGTTTCAATGATCAAAACTAATCCCTGTGTTTCTTTCCAGTTTTCATGACTGTTAGGACAAATAAGAACTGCTGCCCCAGATCAAAGTACACTGTGCCCTACAAACACACAAACTGTCTCCACAAATGGGCAGTGTTTTAACATACACACCAGCCCCAATTACTCAAACGAGTATCTTCGTTCAAAGCAGCCTCCCTGGGAATAACAGTGTCAAACATTTATTGAGTGGGTACCAGGCACACTTCTGTGTTCCTTACACAGATTAGCATTTTAAATTCTCCTGACTATGAATTTCTGGAGTTTGAGACAAGAACACTCAGTCCAAGAGGGATCTGAGCCACTTCCCCGGTGTCACCGGCTGGTGAATGGGTCGGTGGCCACCAGGCAGGCAGTCTGGTGGTCTGGTCTCCAAACACGAAACTAGCCCGCCCACCCCCGGAAGCTGTGTCCTTACATGGCAGACGCCATCAGTGTCCAGACTGAGCTTTAGAATTTTATTTTAGAACTGTGTAAAATATTCACTATAATAAGTATGCTTACCTACAAATGCACATTATTCTTCACTCACCAACCAATGTTAAAATCACACGAACAAAACTGACCCTCAACAAATGAAGCCTGGGCAGGCTGAGACACCTGATGAGAAGGGGCTACAGAGAAAGCACATGAGTGACAGGTGGTCCTGGCCTGGGGCTGTGTCCCCTCCAGCTCTTTTCTCTGTGCTGGTGGCCTCAGAACGGGACCTTATGCGGACATGATGGCTTTATAGAAATATCAAGCTAAAGCAGGGTTACTGGATGGACCCTCCTCCAGGATGGGCGGAGCCAGAGAGCCACCTCGGGGAGTTCAGGACCGGCAGCTGCACACAAGCATCTTGCTAACCTTCCTCAGAAACACCACGCGGCACCAGGTGTCCATTTGGTTAGAGAACCCTGTGCCCCATCATCAAACAGCAACTCACCACTGTGTGCTCCTGGTTTCTCCAGAAGCTATTGCTTCGGGAGCACAACCCAAAAGCCTTGGGACAAATGTGAATTGCACCCTCTCTTAGCAACACCTCCAATGCCACCATGGATGCAGGCATTGGAGGTCGGCCCTGACCTCCACACCTGGCCCTCCTTACTCTCAGGTAAAGCATCTGTGGGGCCAAAGACACTTCCCCACCCAGAGTGGGTCCAGGCAGCCAAGACCGGAGTGCCTCCCAAATGGCTGGGACCCTGCCTCCTTCCAGGGCCTTGTCTCGGGCCAGCCGCAGAGGGTGGGACGCACTGCTGTGAGCAGAGCCCCAGGCCCAAGCGGTGCCCCAGCGGTGGCTGTTTGGAAGGTGCAGATATTTCTCGGATGCACAAGCCTAGTGTGCATGCGTAAAACCCAGCAGGGCAGGGCAGGTCCAGGGAAGACAAGCCCCGCAGTTCGGCTGGTCCTCGGGCCTGGGTGGAGCAGGCCGTGTCCAAGCCTTAGAGAGACCCCCTCACCCTGTAGGTCCTCCTGCTGCTTGTCGCGCTTCCTCCAGCCACCACCGCCCTCCACATCAGACTCACACCGGGACGCCAGCCACGCACCAGCTCCAGGGAGGAGCGGGCCTCTGCAGATCAAATGGCCTCTGCTGGACAGGAGTGTGAATGACACTCGGAGAAGGCCACCGCCTTCCCACCCGACAAACAAGTCACTTTCTATGGCAGCTCGGTTTCCTCACCCGCACAGTGAGCAAGGTGGACCAGCTTATTTCTAAGAACCTTCCAGTCCTATATCCAAAAGTCTTTTACTGATAGTAATTTATTTGTAGAGATGCAGAGAACCTAAAAAACACACAGGTTATAGGAAGTGCCAGATGACGTC